AATAACAAGTGTAATATCCACTAAAGCAAAGCTTAAGTATATAACACCAACAGGAAGCACGCGGGACGTCGCTGGGAACTCGTGATCGGCGGCAACGTGCAAGCAGGCGTCGTGCGTGATGGTCGAGCGTCGCTGGGTGTCTGGGACGTGGGGCGTCGCTCGCGATGTGGTGCGTCAGAGCTTGGGCGTGCGCGGCGGACCTTCCGACGGTGATGCAATTTTCCGGCGGCGGATCACGGTGGTGATGAGCGGCGATCGGCGATGATGATGTGATGATGATGACCGGAAAATATATATATTAGAAAGCTCAATTAATTGTACCAAAAAGCCTTCTAATGGATTACCTAAACACCTACTTCGATTAAACTTGGTGGAGCGTTTAATCGAATCTCCCTAACTCTCGAACGATGTAATTCTCTCGTGTATGTAGTAGAGAAAAATCGGCCAAGACAACATTGTAGGAGAGGTTGGGACATGGTGTATTTATAGGCTCCATTATGGACCTTAAGGAGGTGCTAATTATGGGCTTATTCCATTAGGCCTAGGAAACCTAATTCTACTCCAATACTAATTTAATGTTGGAAAGAAATCTCCTACTAATCCTCTCCTTCTAGAAGACTCCTAAGTCTCCTAACAATAGAGAATATCCTTGTAGGAATATCTTTCCTAATTATATTAATAACCATGGAATAAAATTATTTCCTAATTTAGGAAGCCTAATTTTACTCCAATTAATAATATAATATAGGAAATATATTTCCTACTAATCTTCATTTTCTAGAAGAATCCCAAGTCTCCTAACCCCAAGAGAAGATTCTAGTAGGAATTTTATTCTCCTAACTAATTAATTAATATGGAATAAAATTAATTCCTATTTAATGGAATTAAATAATAAAACATCCCATTAGAGTAATATTATTTCTCTCCCCATTTAGCCACTATTTTACCAATAAAATCGAGCCTCCATGATTAAATAATATTAATCTGATTGATCGATTTACCTCCCTATGTTTAAGATATAACGTCCGTTGATTAATTAAATTACTGACAAAATAATTAATCAACTTCTTATTTATTTCCAAAATTAGTACCACTCAGCCTTTAACCATTATGTCAGACAATCGTCTACCTGCAGGGTTTAACATAATGTTCCTTTCTGAGCTCATTTCGGGGACGTCATCAATCCAGCGCACTGGAACATAGTGACCGTAAATAATTTATAATAGCACATCATATAATTATTCTTACTTACCAAAATACCTCGTATGTCATCCTAACAGAATAGGAATCACTTGGTAAATCAAATAAATAAGAAATAAAATTATATGCCTATTTTATATTATCTTACAGCTTAAGAGAACGCATCAATCATTGAAGGTCTAGGTTACGATAACAGTCAGTGAGTCTCATATTCTTATCCTTCTGTGGTCCTGTTCAGCACTTAGCATAAGTGCCAGTGTAATCCTTCAGTCAAAGACCAACTGAATCGAGAATACACTACAGTCTTTTTCCAAGTGGGGTCTCACTGCCAGTTTAGACTGTGAACGAATAGTTTAGTCTTATAAGGAACCGATAAGTGCTCTTTCCGTTCGAAACTCTTCGAACCACACTACCTCAATATAAGACATGGAGTATGTATTGCATAAATAAATAAACTGCAAACATATGTACTTTGACCGAAACATGATTGCCAGATCAAAATAGAATTGATAGAAACTGCAAAACATCACTTTTACAGCATACCTCTAACAAGTTACTACCAACCATTTTTTTAAATAGCTCGCTATGTAGCTCGCTATATAGCTTTTTTTTTTGGAAAAAACGCGACGTACCCTTATATATTTAGCGTTTTTTCCCGAAAAGCTTACGCGAAATATTTAAACGGCACGCTTTCTTACGCTATTTTGCGTTATTTTACGCAATTGTGCATTACATTGCGCTATATTTCTGCAACGACATTTGAACAATAAAATATTCAAAAATTCGTATTTTGTAGGGATCAAAGTCATATTTACAAATTACAATTAAAAACAGAGAAATTTGATAATGATTTCAAATTAAAAGTTTGGAAATGAAAAGTCTTAAGTTGAATAATGCAATATTTTTTATCCATTTTTGTTATATTATTTTATTTTCGATATTTGACATTTATATAAAGAATAAAAAGTTCATATCTAATTGTTATTAAGTTGTTGTTAAATAAAAAATAATAATTAAAATGCATATACTTAAAATTATACTATGACTTACCTCATTATATTTTCGTTGTTTGTTTTTATTTTTTAATATATTTGATTGATTATTAAGTATTTATATTATGATGATATTTATATTAAATATTTGTGAAAATTAATCTTTAAATGTTATTTTTTAACTCATTTAGATACTATGATCAATTTTTGTAATCAACCATCTATTTTTATTATATGCAAATATACTTGTAATATTTGTATAAAAAAATGTTATACCTAAATAGCTTATATAGCTTACGCAACACGCAACGCTATTTACGCTATGCAGTATAAAGACCAAAACGCAACTCATTAGGCTATTCACGTTTTAAAACACTGCTACCAACCAATCATTAAATCACCCAAACTAAAAGAATATACAAGTTATATACATTAAAAAAAATCTATTGCAAAACTCTTTTTTCTTTCAACAATTTATATTATTTTATTTTTAAAACTCATTAATTAACTTATTATTAAATTATCTTATGTTATTTTTATGACACAACCAAATCTCACTATTTTGCTCACAATTGATACAAGGGTCATGCTATATGTACAACTAGTGTTGACAACATTAGTTGCAACACTAGTTATCACAATCATTGAACAAATCTTAGCTACAAATTTTTTTTTTTATCTCAATTATCTACATGATGACACATCATGTTGTACAAAATAATTGTATAAAATAATTGTACAAGTAGCTTTATTCTTGATACAATTATAATTTAAATATATATTTATTTAAATAATTAATCATAATTACACGAAATTGCAAAAGTTGCATTATTGCAGTCAACACCGTGATTTCTTTGTAACTTAAATAGTTTATATTAAATTACACTAATGATAAATTTTTAAAAAATATAATACATTCGTTATCTAACTTATTAATTTATACTCACGCATACACACAACTAATAAAATTTTATTTGTATTAATGTAGATGGACAAGACCGATTGTTAGCATATTATTAAAATTGATTAATTGAAATCAATTGATAGTTATAGCTAACAATATCATTGACTCCCTCAAATAATTCATATTTAAATATACTACGAAGAGACACATTGCTTCTGTAGTAGTAGTAGTGGCATCACATCAATGTTGCATTAATGATGGCATGTGGATGCAGCTCATCATTTATTATTTATATCTGGGCAAAATTTTAAAATTGTCCAATTAACCATTTTTCGAAAAAACTCTATCATCTAGGCGTCATTAAGAATGATCTACCAAGTTGTCAATTTAATTAAAATTTATACAATAGTCAACATAGACTATAGTGTAATAAAAGTGATTATTTTAATTGTCATATTTAGTACACTATGTTGGTTTTTGTACGAATTTTTATTAACATGATAACTTAATGGACTATTCTTGAATACACGCTATATGATGGACCATTTTTAAAAAATAGCCAACACAGTGTACCGAAAATGAAATTTATCCTTTATATTTTTCCTTTAATTGAAACAGCCTCCTTGTCTACTTACAAGGGTAAGGTCTGCATACAACTGACCCCCCAGACCCCAACTTGTTGGGAATATACTGGGTATGTTGATGTTGATGTTGATGATGTCATTTTGGCATTATCAACTATTAACAAAATAAATGTCATTTTGAATATTTTGTACATATTTTTCCATTATTATCCTCATCTAGATAATAAATACACTGCGCCTTTTCATATTCACTCTTCATCTTTTCTCAAAATATTTATCTCTATCCTCATTGATGAGGGTTATTATTGAAAAAAAAAATATTCTTAATAACTGTGCAACTTCTCAAAACAACCCTTATTATAAATATGAGGGAGTAGCATACATACATTCTGGAAATGTCTTTGGCATACTATATAAAGCCCAAAAGAGGTAGCCATTTTAACTCGCCTCCGATCAACCAATTGTAGTGTAATCACTCATATATAAGTACGAAAACAATAAATGGGTTTGAAAGGGAAACTTGTTGCTCAGATAGACATAAAATCCGATGGAGATGTTTTTCATGAGATTTTCAGAGAGAGACCTCACCACATTTCAGACATGAGCCCAGCTCACATCCAAAACTGTGATCTTCATGAGGGTGATTGGGGGAAAGTTGGATCTGTTATCTTCTGGAACTACACCCATGGTAAGTACGGTACCTCCAGTTTATATGAAATTATTAAGTGCAAATTATACTATTTCACTTTGGTAATATTATTTAGGCAAAAATTTAATTTTGGTCTGTTTACTTGTTTAAAGTCCTTTTTTGATACACTAATTTTCCCTCATCCACAATAGTATGTTATGTTGCAATTTGTATTACTATATTGAAGTCTCTTGTTTGGGAGTAGACTTATCTCTTATTTGGGAGAGTAGACTGATCTCCTGTGGGGAGTTTGTTTTTCTTTTTGGTCTTAGTGATTGTGTGTGAGTTGTGGGTGTGTGGTAATTTAGGTCATATATTGTGTATGGTTCTATCTGTATTCTCGATTGTTTTGGGGCATTTGCTCCCGATTTGTGTTTAATGAGATGTGTCTATCGTTTGGAGAAAAGAAAAAAAGGTATCACTATTGGGAGTGCAAAAAATGGTTCATTATTTTTTGGGATTAATGTCTGTCCCAAATATGATACAAATTGCAATATAATGCACTGTTTTTTTATGGGTAATATCTAAAAGATGATACAAACTCAAACATAATGTACTATTATTGATGAAGCGAAAGTTGGTGTACCAAAAAAAAGACTGTAGACAAGCAAACATGCCAAATTGAAAATTTTCCCAATTATTAAACTAATTTTTTGTTTAGTTTTTCTAATTCTATTTATATATATATATATATACATATATTGTCTTGGATAATAGTGTTGTTATTTTCATTGTGAATTGATATGGTGGCGTGTAGATGGAAAGGAGAGGGTGGCAAAGGAGATAATAGAAGCAATTGATGAGGAGAAGAAGTCGGTGACCTTCAAGGTGATTGAAGGTGATCTTATGGAGCTCTACGCAACCCTGAAGATCATTGTCCACGTGGACACCAGCGGGGATGACAACCTGGTGACGTGGACTTTCGAGTACGAGAAAAAGAGTGAAGATGTTGCAGATCCGCATACTCTCATGGAGTTTTGCCTCAAAGTCACCAAGGATATCGAGGCACACCATCTTCCTAAAGCCTAATTAATTATTTTGAGTGTCTATAAGTTCTGAATCTCATATGCTCAAGCGCCCTATTTACGCATCTTTTAATTTATGTGTGATCTATATTATGCGCGCGGTTGATGATGAAGTTTGAAATTTGTACTCAAGTGTGATGTAATCATGTGATTATATGAATAAGGGACTGTATGCTTGATTAATGTTGTATGATCCTTAAAGTTTGAGTGTGAATAAATCGTGGTTTTAATACATGGGGTTTGAATTTATTGTTGTAGACTGAAGAAAAAAAAAAAAAAAAAAGAATCAATGGTATTTGCCAATTGTTGTAATTTCTTCTGGCCTATAATTTTGTATCGTCGTGTTATATATAATACGTTTAATCAAGAAGCACCGATATCCCAAGACGACCAACTGAAAGAATACAAATCATCGAAACAAGAATATCGATCTGGGAATTCCAACACAATATATGGCTATGGCTACTATGATATGAAGAAAAAAACAAGTCCGGCGTAGTAGACCGTGGGGTTGACGCCGTAGACTTTGCCAAGGTATAATTATTCTACTCTCAAATGAGTCGATCTTATCCAAACAAGCTCATTTAGAGAGTGGGGATAGATGATGTAACACCCCGAATAGCTTGATCAGCTCGGGCACTCAGAAATTTTGTTTTAATTGATAAGAACTTCCTTTAAAAACTAATGTTACAAAATTTATTATAGAATTAACTTGTACACTAATTTCCTAGTATATTTGCAAATAAAATATATATCTTTAGTTCCTTTGCAAATAATTATACATGGCTTGTAATAATGTATTAAATTAGTTGGCAATGAATAGTGCACCATGTAATTTACTCAAAATTCAAAACATGTAATTTACAGCCCAGGTGCAGTTAGCAGTAAATCTACCCCTGCTTAGTAGGTAGCCTAAATGCCACGACGGAATACAACAAACACTCTTAAATTTGAGAAAAAAAAAATAATAAACGCACACTTTATGCAAAATTGCAAACTCAACAACAAAAAGCACAATTTTTTTTTTTTTTTTTTGGTACAATAAAGGTAGGCCTAAGGCCTAAGAGGTCGAAACCAGAACTCGTCGGGGGTGAGCCACCCCATTAACGTCGTGAGCAAGCCATACATACATCCCAGGGGGAGGTGACGAGATCCGTTGCAATCCTAATGGGGCCGAAGCCGCAAGAGTCGCCATATGGTCTGCCGCAAAATTGGCTTCTCTATGCACATGAAGAATTTGGATAGTCCAATTGCGGTGCATTAAACTGCGAATGGCTCGGATGAGTGAATCGTGGGTGCCAAACTGATTTTCCGGCCCTAGAATCATTGTCGTCACATATTGATTGTCAACCTCAAACACAGCTTGCCGGATCTTGAGGTCCCAGGCTAATTGGAGTCCCTGAAACAAACCTCATAATTCCGCTCCGGTAACCGTATCGACTCCAATGTTCATAAAGAAACTCTCGATCCATGTACCTTGCGCGTCCCTTATTAATCCGCCAGCACTGCAAAGGCATGTGGTTCGGTTTAGGGCGCCGTCCGTGTTTATTTTGTACCACCCCGAGGCTGGTGGGGCCTATTGAATCATCCTCGAAACATACGGCGATGAGCCCACCTTTTCGTACGCCTCAGCCGCCCTCTCATAAGACTCAGCGCGACTAACAATTTCGAGTAGCCGAGGTTCTGTCCCTAATGACTGACCGTTGAACACCCTGTCGTTCCGCCATCGACATGCACTCCAAGCAGCAAAAGCCAAAATACACCTCCATTATTTGTGCAGCCCCTTTGGCGCCTGGG